ATCGGCTGACAGAACGCAAACGGACAGAACGCAGGTCTAGCTGGGTCACCATGGGCATAACCGGCTGCACCGGACTCAGCTTCGGGCCCAACTTGGCTCCAAAGGTAGAATCCGAGTGGTGTCGGCTTACTTTGGCTTTGCTCTTGTGCGAGATCTTCAAGCCCGAGAGGTCCAGGTGTGTTGGTGGGGCAAAGGGCAGATCGAAGGAGAGACGAGACTTGGGGCTTCGTTCCATAGGAGAAACAGGGGGTAGGGAGGACTTCCTCTCCGGCACAAGGGGCCTTGTCCGTCCACTCTGGTGAGGAGCATGACCCAGAACCATGGATGTTGGAACGGTTGGGGTTGGCGTTTCAGACTGACTGGAGTAGCCACTGGAGGGAGACATTAGCCCTGTCAACCTCCCTGGGGAAGAGGTTTTCAAACTCATGTCAGCACAGAGGTGAGATGGGGTGGTGGCCCGGGAGACAGAAGGAGATGGGAGGGACTCAGAACTACCACGTACTTTGGACAGTTCAATTACAGTAGTCCCAGTAGCAGTGCTGGATCCGGACAAGGAGCAATAAGGATCCCCAGAATTCCATTCAGGCATAAAGCCCTGCTGGGCATAGGGCCTGCTCTCCAATTCCCTGGTTGGATCACCTTGGACTTTGCTGTGGACCTGTGCATCGGGCAGCAAATAAAGACTTTTGGGTCTCTGATCCTGGGGCAGTGCCTCACCACTCACTTCTGCTTCGCCGACTTGCCCTTCTTTTATCAAGGAGACGCTGCGCATGGGTGGGCAAGGCTTCTTCTTGGCCTTCTTGAGAGAGATACTCTTGGTTCGTTGTCGGCGCTGCCTTCGGGCCTCTTGCTCCAGAGCCAGGGAGATGTTGTCTGTGCTGGTGCTCCCCTCCGAGCTGGCACTGGGATAACTAAGGCCACAGGTCTCACTGCCCCCAATGTCCACTGAGCACAGGGAGGCTGTGTCTGTAGGGACAGAAAGTGACCTCTCACGGAATTTGCACATGATTCTCTCCCTCTCCAGTTGGGACGATTCCTCTTCACTTGAGTTGACAAGGGCTGCAGGGACTTTGACGTCTCTCGTTCCACACCTCGAGCTTCCCTCAGCCTCTAAGGGGGACTCAGGAGAAGTGCAAAACGTCCCACACTCATTCACCCCAGCCATATTGTCTTGGCTAATGAAGAAAGAAGAAAGCTGATCTGCCTCTGGAGTGTCCCTGGGTGTGCAAGGAGACATCTGAGATGCGCTCTCTGCTGCTGCCACCTCATTTTGGCTCACAGGAGAGTTGGTGTAGCAGAAGGAGGATGTGCTGCAACCAGGAGAGAAGATGGAGTCCTCTTTGGGGCCATTGCACAATGGGCTGGCGTACATCACCTTGGGGTTCTCAGCACGGCCTGCTTGGATTTGGCAACCTCGTCCCTGTAGGACTCCCCCGAGATCACTGAAGGTCTTTCTCAGCTGTGGTCGGGACTGAGGAGACCGGGCTTGGCGAGTGGAGCTCCTTCCATTGACCACATCAGGGACAAAATTGCAAGAGATGGACTCAGCTATGGTGGCCGGTGGGTTGACGATGGGCCCATTGCTACTTCCTAGAGAAGAGTTAGAAAGGCAAGGATGAAACAGAGTAGAGAAGCTCTTTAAGACCTGTGGACTTCAACTCCCAGAATTCTGTCTATTCAAGCCAGCTAGGGAATTCTGGGAATTGTAGTCCACAAGTCTTAAAAAACTGCCAGTACCTTGCTTAGATACACAACATGGTGCCGATTAAAGAAAAGAGCCTTTTATTCAGCTTTGGGTGCACCCCAGCCTGCGACGTATGTTTTAAATCAACAAATAAAATAAATATCTTTACGACTGACCAGCAAAAACCAAAAAAGCAAGGGAGCAGCTGCCCCACCAGTTGGTCACCTGGATCACGTAGAGAGAGGTGGGGAAAACCAATCACGGTCCGTCTTCGGCGTAGCAAAGACTTGGGATTCATGGCGGTCTCTGTATTGAACAAGGAGTGCCGTGCGCTGGCGTGTCGAGCAAACGGCTGCCCTGGAATCGAGAAAAAAGAGATTCAGTGGTCCAAGCAAAGACTAGGAAGCCCAGAAGATGACAACAGACAGGAGAGGCAGATGACCTTAACTCGTGTTTCTCAATCTCAGCAGCTTTAAGATGGGTGGTCTTCAATTCCCAGAATTCCCCAGCTGGCTTCAACAGAGAGATGGTTTGCATGTAGGTGTGTAATTGTGACAGGAATGGAGGGACAAAAACCCACCAGCATCCTCTAAAAATCTCAAGCTTTTGCTGTGCCGAGTTTGAATTTATTAGATGCTGATGGTGATAGGACCACAAATGTAGGCTAACATTACACGCAGTCCTCATTTAATGACCACAGCTGGAACCAGCCACTTGGTCGTTAAGGGAAGAAGTTGCTAAGCGAAACCCTGACTGTATTTTCAATCTTACTTCAGCTTTCCTTTGCTTTACAGACCCGTGAAATGAGAGGACGGGTCACAAAGTTGCTTTTTTCCCCATTACCACTCTTGCTGAGAACAGTAGTCACCAAACGAGGCAGCTGCTAAGCAAGGACTCCCTGTACGTGCAACACTCACAAACAAAATACCCAAAATGAGAGGGAAGAAATAGTGTGTTCCAATATCTCAGGGGCTGCCCCAAAGAAGAGGGAGTCAAGCTATTCTCCAAAGCGCCCGAAGGCAGGACAAGAAGCAACGGATGGAAACTAACCAAGGAGAGAAGCAACCTAGAACTAAGGAGAAACTTCCTGACAGTTAGAACTATTAACCAGTGGAACAACCTGCCTCCAGAAGCGGTGAATGCTCCAACACTGGAAGTTTTTAAGAAGAGACTGGACAGCCATTTGTCTGAAATGGTATAGGGTTACCTGCCTGAGCAGGGGGTTGGACTTGATGACCTCCAAGGTCCCTTCCAACTTTATTATTATTATTATTATTATTATTATTATTATTATTATTATT